TTAAAGATTTTATGAAACATAAACTGTACAAAAGGGTCATTACATGATAAATGAATACATGGTCGATAATAGCCCCTGGGAATGATGAGGTGGTCACTACCAAGCTGTTTCTGAAATAAATTTTGTAAATAGTTTGTACAACCTTTCATATGATATTTGAAAATTAATTTAAAATTATACGAAAAAAATTATTGTATAGTTATAAGTTTTAAAAAAATCCCGCTGGGTTTCTTGCTGTTTTTTCCGAACCAGTGTTATATAAAAAAAATACTTTCATTAAGTGTTATGCTATAATCTATATTGAATATAAAACTCGTTCATTTCATTTCATTGTATAATTTACTTCGAGTACTACTGCGAGATCTTTGCAGTTTTGTTGGTAACTGTCCTTCTGAGTAGACCCATATCGATTTATTGCCTTTTATTTTAGACAAGTATACCGTCTAGATGCCACATTGTCTTTCCAGAACGGCCCAAATAATGTCTACTATAATTGGTAGACTCGCTTCTCACCTACGTCAGTGTCATTTGAATCACTTAAGGATAACGTGCTCACAAAAAATAATTAATTATGCCGGTTTGTGCTGTTAAATTGTGTCGCAATTATGTGAGAAAACCGTATAATAACATAACATAACATAACCGCAAAATAAGTTTGATTATTAAACCACTATTATTGTATGAAAACACGATTTTTAAATTCGTTATTTTGTAGGTTAGTCTGATTAGCCGGTGTTGTCAGTTTATTACTATGGAGTTTTGGCGAAACTAAGGGAGACAAAATACCAAATATTATACATCATCTTTCGATCAGGAGAACATTATTATTTTAAAAATTACTTTAGTTTTTTGAACAGTAAATGATAACTTACCTACACAAAATAAATGAAACCCATTACGTCATGCACTAAATAGTATTTTTGTTAATTCTTTCAAATTTTTTTATATATTTAAATAAAATAAATAAAACTAATCTACATAATAATTACTTTATTAAACCTATTTTGTTTAACTTTCATCTGATTAAACAAGTATATAATCAAAGCTTCGGCCGATTGGTCTCCCTTGGCGAGGTCTCCCATCTGGTTGGATTTTATTTATTTATGTAATTTATTTTATTTTATTGATATGTATATATATTAATCATTTTCATTTATATATTTATAAAAAACTATAAGTAAAACTAGAATAATACCAAAAGTAACTAATATAAGTACAAAAAAAAAAATAATGAATATTATTTATTTGGACATGGTACATTAAAGATGATAAATAGTTGTACATAGTCCACGTGTTTACCATATCTGACATGTGAAAATTATTTAACATAATATACCAAATCATTGTTTTTATAAGTAAGCAAGTCAATATATAAATAATTTATATCAAATTAAATAAAATTAAAAGTACAATTGTCATGTCAATCGTTACTATTTTAATAAATCCGTTATTATTTTTATAACTAGGCAAATCAAAATAAGTATATATAAAAAAACTAAAGTGTCAAATGCGTACTTAATCTAATGGGAAATATTCAAGAGCTGGTATCACTCAGCTAGCACGCGAGTGACGCAGCGCGCTTGTTAAACAATAGTAGTTACCTACGCATACTTGTGTGCGTAATATTTAAGCACAAGCAAGCAAGCGCTCGAAATCGAGCCTGTTGTTTTTGTTACGATTGTAGCGCAACACTCTATCTAGACAGGTATATAATCAAAACTGAAAACGAAGCAATCCATCTTAGTTCTCAAGGGTGACAAAGCTTCAGCATTTTGATTTATAATTGAAGATAGATGTAGGTGTCTATGGGACACAGCATCTACTTACCATCAGGTGGACTGAGTGCCCGTTTGTCACCCTTATTATATAAAATTAAAATAAATAAAAAGCAAGTGAAATTAATTAGCGCAAATTCATCATTTATCACCGAGTAGAGCAACACTTTTATTATGGTTTTAGCACGAATATGTCGACTCGACCAGCTAAGGACCATGCCCGCACAGAATACCAGCGTGAAATATCAATATAATTATTTTGTGTTACGTATAGTAAAGGACGAGAAGGACACACAAATACGAAATAAACTTATATACATAGAATTATTAGGCTTAGAACCGCAGCAGGCGGACGCAAAGTGAAGCCGTTTCAAGTTAGCCTTTTAAGGCTACGTACGACTTTCGGCGCGTCAGTACTCGAGTCCACGTAGTGGTGTAAGGATCTCGCGCAATTTTGCAAAAAAATGACGTACTGTGCTGTTAAAGAGTGTCACAACTCATCACATAATTATGAATAAAATTTAAAAATCTAATTTCACGGATCAATACCGCCTAGCATTTTATATTTTTCTAAAAAACATTCATCAAAACAAAATAATAAATCGTAAATTTGACAGACGCCAATATAACGAAAATTTTGCTAGGCATAGTAAAATATTTTACCCCATATTTTCTTATTATTGTAATTACATGCTGCCAATATGGGACTATTATTGTTGTATTTTTATTTGGCAAATAAAAATACTTACAATATTCACGCATAATTAGGTATTTTGGTAATTTTATACTATCGCGGTCACCTCGTTTTTTGGCTCTAGAAAATCAAAATATCATCCGATTTCCATGATTTTTTTTAAATCTTCGTCCTTGCGGCGGATTTATGGAAAAAAATTTAGAAAAAATCTGACCTCAAAATTTCATATAGTTTTATGACTAAATGTGATCATAAACGAACTTCTTCGAATATAATCGTTCATAACTTTTTTTGAAAAGCGTTAAACGCAGTTTGCATATATTTTTTCTTAATCTACACAAAAAAAAGAAATATTCAAAAAAAGGCATTGAAAAATGTTTGTTTATTAAATTTATATCTCACTAAGTTTTTGACTTTAAATGTTATCATAAACGCTCTAGAAAATCGAAAAATCATCCGATTTCAATGAGTTTTTTTTAATCTTCGTTTTTACGGAAAAGATCAAAATAAAAAGAATTAACTATATATTATATTCAAAAATAAATCAATAACTTATATTATCGTCGAAAAAACCTTGTAACAAAATAAAAAAATATGCAATCTTTGACTGTGATTGCTATATCCTAATATAGTAATAAGCTTTACTAAAAAACATGAAAAAAAAATCACATAATAATGTTTATTTATTAATTTTTTAGTGTAGCGAGCTAGGCACTTTGGGCATCCCAACTCGGACACGATAGGTTAGAAGGAGATCCTATCGCCATCTCCTTCGTGGTTATTTTTTTATAAACCACTCAGAAGTAGGAGCCCTGTATGTAGGGCTCCGTCGACCGGGCTTCCCTCGACTGCACTACGTTGAGTGGCGTGATGCTTCCCTCCTCTAACTCTCTCCCGACTCTGAGTGGTTTATAAAAAAATAACCACGAAGGAGATGGCAGGGATATTCGCTCGCTTTGCTCACCCATTCGACCCCGCCATCTCCACCTGACCTTACCTTTCCGAGTCAGAATGCCCTAAGTCCCGAGCTCGCATCGCTCGATCTTACACTCAATAAAAAATTTATAAACAAACATTTTTTAATTTTTTAGAATGTTCTTTTTTGTGTTGATTATGAAAAAAAAAAATAACAACTTAATTCGATTATTTAAAAAAAGTTATCAACAATTATACGTGAATGAGTGCATTTTCATGACAAACGTTGAACCAATATAATTTTTTTTATTTGTAATTCATAAATCTGCCGTAATTTTTCTTCCAAAAACACAAGTTAACAGTATGTCTTTAATAAAATTAAACTTTTTCTCCTTCCGAATCTTATTTCGTTTAATTAAAAAAACGCCTATTCAATAAAATATATTATATTTTTATATAAATACATAATACTTGATTATATAAATATATCACTTCTAACAGAATAATATAATGAATGACATTATAGATTTGTGAATATATATTATAGCACAAAATATTTAAAACATTAGTTAACAAATATTAAATTTTTTTATACAAAAAGCCTATTCAATAAATTATATTATAATTAAATAAATATATAAGACTATATACTTATATAAATATATAACTTCTAACAGAATAATATAATAACGTATATATAAAAAGAAAATATTAGTTAACAAATATAAGTAATTTTATATTTCTCTCTTTGTAAATTATTAATAAATAATTCTAAACGCAACCTCAATATTAATTTTACGACTATGTCTACTATTACACTTTGTCCATTTTTTGGGGAAATCGTCATTTACTTGCGTACATTACTCATTTGCTTGTGTGCGTGGGGGCAAACGTAATTACTGGCCGCTTATCCACAAATTCATTGTGTTGTTGCTTCAACATTGAACGGAATTTTGAATGACACTATCACTCTAAGTCTAATTACTCTATGCTTATATACTTATCTGAAATAAACTTCAAATCACGTTGGCAAAGTGCGCACATAAATAATGACTGCGTTTTCTTGTCGTATTAAACAAAATCAACGTTATTATAGATTGTCAAAAAGAACGTTCGCGGCCTACAAAACAAAGAACAGTCGGCTAACGGAGTTCGGAGAAATGATCGTAGCGTAGTGTCCAAAATATCAAAGCCGCACAGGCCGCTATTTGTATAATAATACATAAAAGTCTTTGCCTGACTGTAGTGTCGTTGGTTGCTGATTTTTTATTTATAAAGATGATAAACGAGCCCACAGTCCACCTGATTGTAAGTAGATGCTTTAACTCATAGACACCGAGATCTATAGTCGGTTAAGTATACAAGCGTACTAAGCCGAGGACTAAGTTGTTTCCTCGTAACCTGTACAAAGGGTCTCCGGTTCCTATATTCACGATACAGACCAGAGAAGCATGAAGCTGCTATTTTACACTGGTATTCGGCGATAACTTGGTCCTACGCCTGTCGAGCCGTCTCATTCAACTATAGATAATATTAGAGCTGCCGCATGGCTCTACCACGTTTAGACATAAAGTTACCGTGCTGATAATTATTGTGACATGGTGGTGTGTGAACAGGAGCTGTTGGACTCAACGTCGATGGAGGCTGGCGGGGGAGCGGGGAGTGCGGTGCTACGCGCTCGCGATATTTCGCCACTGAGGGGTGAGACCGATATATTGTACTTCCAACCTTTTTCACTCGCACACCGTAACCGTTCATATCACACAACCTTTATAAATACCGACATAAGTCGTGAGCACACTTTTTATTGGTCGATACGACGTTGACCACGCTGACTAGTGTTGCCCAAATGCAAGAACAAGACGAGACTTAGCCAGTCTTGGTCTTGGTCTTGGCAATAACAAGAGTCTCGCAAGTCTCGTAATTACCTATTAGCCTATTGTTATTTATTAAACGTTACTTTAGATCTTAGAACAACTTAACAGAGTAGGCACATTTTGAGCTTGAATAAACATAGCCATAGAAAGACCAACCAAATTAATAAATGTCTAAACATTTAATGAGAAATTCGAAAAATCAACTAATACCGGGTGGGGTTTAAACCCACGACCTAAGCGATCCGTGCCGATGCTCTAACCAACTGAGCTGTCTACCAAGTCTCACGGCCACGGGAGTTAGTCTGTTTCTTAATAAACGTTTACATTTAATAATATTACATGTGCTAAAACTTAGTCAAAACATATAAAAACAAATTAAAGACATTAACTTGACTGTATTATAAAGAACATTATCTGTCTAGAAAGAGATTGATAGACCCTTATATGAAATGGAATAAAAGAGTTATACAATTTACCATTTATTTAAATAAAAAAATAAAATACAATACAAATTAAATTACATAACAGTACACAACAGCTTTGACATTACTGTTACTTTATATTAATTCTTTTGACCAAGAATTAACAGCATCTGGCTGACTCATCATTTAACCTATTTCTATGTTTTCTAATTACTAATGATGCTTTAGAAAATAGTATCTCAGCAGGTACTGAAGTTGCAGGTATTGAAAGAAAATCACGGACCATCTTCGATAAAGTCGGATATTCTGTCTCATGCGTCCTCCACCACTCTAAAATGTCTTCCGAACTGGCGGCTCTGGGTTTACTTAGGTACTCCTCCAACTCGTCTATGACTAAGCCTTGATGAAAAGATCCAGATCCAGATGACGTCGAGGGACATGCGCACAATTTCTCAAAGTCTATTACGTCTTCATCTTCATCATATTCACATACTTTCTTTTCATTTCTTGGTGATTCTAGAGATTTATTCACTGAGTGTAGACTTTTTACTTTATAAAGTTCATTAAATTTGCGCAGGCTTTCTGTTTTAATTTGCTTCCCCCATAATGTCATGTCAAAAGTCTGAGTCTTATGCCTTGGGTCAAAAATTAAAGAGGTACAATAAATCCAGTTGCTCTTTTTATAATGTTTAAGCATTTTGTCTCGAGCTGCTTGAAAACCCAGAATGAGCTTTTTATCCACTTCGGATCGATTAGGTTTTCCATCTAATTGTTTTACCATGGGTTCAATTTTATCGAGCAAGGGATTGAATGATACAATGACTAGCGGTAATGTAACATATTTTTCTCCACCAAGTTTCGTTGATAGAAGTTTAAAGTTTATTAGAAACTTATTTGTTTTTTCGAGTATTTGCCTCACTATCTGTGATTTGAAAATCATTCAATTCGGTGACAGAAGTGCACAATATGTTAATGCCAGTTCTCACTTTTAAACCAAATCCAATCATATCATGTGTGGAATTCCAATTCCTTCTAACTCCCATTTCACTCCTTAAGGGAGTGAAATGGGAGTTAGAAGTTTGAATGAAAGTCCTACGTTTTTGAAGTTAGAGATAGAGTATATATATATATATATATATATATATATATATATATATATATATATACCCAAATATGGTGTTTCCTAAAAGGTCCACACTTAGAAGGAAGGTCAAAGAACGGTTTGAAGAGCTTCATTTGAATCTTAAGAAACGACTACAACAATTTTTATCTAAAATGTCATTTACCATTGATGGTTGGACGTCAATTGCTGGTAGGAGTTACTACGGGGTCACTATTCATTATATAGACAACGAATGGAAGTACCGATCTGTAGTCCTTGATTTTATACCATCACGCGGTCGACATACTGGGGAAGATATTGCAACGATTTTCTACGAATGTTTATTGGAATATGACATAATAGATAAAATACAGGGTATCACGGTCGACAATGCAACTGCAAATACCAAATTTATGTATGAATTGGACAAACAGCTGCCACACTTTGATTCAGACAATCAACATTTCCGGTGCTTTGCTCACATTTTGAACCTTGGTGTACAAGATTTATTAAAGACCTTAGCATTACACAGTGAAACTGACAATAAGGGACAGGAACAGCAGTATGAAGATAATGAAGACGAAACTGAGGAAGATGAAGAATATGCGCCAAATATTGCTGACTCATGTACAGCTCTAACAAAATTACGCAGTATTTCCAGTAAAATAAAAAGAAGTGAGATATTGAAGAGGAAGTTTCAGTCTGCTTGTGAAGCAGCTGGCGTGCCATCAAATCTGAACCCCATACTCGACTGTCCAACGAGATGGAATTCACACATGATATAATTGGATTTGGTTTAAAAGTGAGAACTGGCATTAACATATTGTGCACTTCTGTCACCGAATTGAATGATTTTCAAATCACAGATAGTGAATGGCAAATACTCGAAAAAACAAATAAGTTTCTAATAAACTTTAAACTTCTATCAACGAAACTTGGTGGAGAAAAATATGTTACATTACCGCTAGTCATTGTATCATTCAATCCCTTGCTCGATAAAATTGAACCCATGGTAAAATAATTAGATGAAAAACCTAATCGATCCGAAATGGATAAAAGGCTCATTCTGGGTTTTCAAGCAGCTCGAGACAAAATGCTTAAACATTATAAAAAGAGCAACTGGATTTATTGTACCTCTTTAATTTTTGACCCAAGGCATAAGACTCAGACTTTTGACATGACATTATGGGGGAAGCAAATTAAAACAGAAAGCCTGCGCAAATTTAATGAACTTTATAAAGTATATAAAAGTCTACACTCAGTGAATAAATCTCTAGAATCACCAAGAAATGAAAAGAAAGTATGTGAATATGATGAAGATGAAGACGTAATAGACTTTGAGAAATTGTGCGCATGTCCCTCGACGTCATCTGGATCTGGATCTTTTCATCAAGGCTTAGTTATAGACGAGTTGGAGGAGTACCTAAGTAAACCCAGAGCCGCCAGTTCGGAAGACATTTTAGAGTGGTGGAGGACGCATGAGACAGAATATCCGACTTTATCGAAGATGGCCCGTGATTTTCTTTCAATACCTGCAACTTCAGTACCTGCTGAGATATTATTTTCTAAAGCATCATTAGTAATTAGAGTAATTAGAAAACATAGAAATAGGTTAAATGATAAGTCAGCCAGATGCCGTTAATTCTTGGTCAAAAGAATTAATATAAAGTAACAGTAATGTCAAAGCTGTTGTGTACTGTTATGTAATTTAATTTGTATTGTATTTTATTTTTTTATTTAAATAAATGGTAAATTGTATAACTCTTTTATTCCATTTCATATAAGGGTCTATCAATCTCTTTCTAGACAGATAATGTTCTTTATAATACAGTCAAGTTAATGTCTTTAATTTGTTTTTATATGTTTTGACTAAGTTTTAGTACATGTAATCTTATTAAATGTAAACGTTTATTAAGAAACAGACTAACTCCCGTGGCCGTGAGACTTGGTAGACAGCTCAGTTGGTTAGAGCATCGGCACGGATCGCTTATATATATATATATATATATATATATATATATATATATATATATATATATATATATATATATATATAATCAACCACTCACTGACTGATTATAACGATATCTCAGGAACTATAAAACATACAAACTTGAAGTTTGTAAGGTAGGTTCCTTTTATGTCATAGAGATCAGTTAAGAAACGGTTTTGAGAACATCTATCCCTAAGGGAGTGAAATGGGAGTTGAAAGTTTGAATGAAAGTCCTACGTTTTTGAAGTTAGAGACACGAAAATCGGCATTAAAGTTATAAGTTTTCAATAATAAAATCCTGAATAAGCTGTTTTACGAAATCCTAACCCTAAGGGGGTGAAATTGGGGTAAAATGGTTACATGCAAGTCCTATATTTTAAAAGTATAGATATGAAGATCGACATTTACTTTATTAGTTTTAAATAATAAATGCTTGCATAGTTAAGCTTTACCTATATAGCCTCTTTATACTTAGGTAAGACTTTTGCAGCGAGAAAATTTCAAAATCTCAAAGTAAAACAGATATTGTACGCGGACGAAGTAGCAGGCGGCCGCTAGTTACATAATATAAGTGTTATATAATTGTGTGATAAGTATATTTTTTCTTACCTGTCCACTTTTTCCGGTGGTTATTAAAAAGCTTGTGATATCTCCACTTAATTTTGGTTTTTCAGGAAGAAATATTTGTGATTCCTTTTTGTGGAAAGATATTAGATGCTTCCTTAAGTCTGAAGTGTTTCTGTTTTTCATTTTTATTTCAACCTTTTTATGTTGGCATAATTTACACAAAGCAATTTGGGATCCGTGAATTATGTCGATAAACTCATCAAATTTACTTTTAGGTCTTTTAGATCTACAACTACAACACTACTTCGACTAGAACTATTCGATTATATTATATTTAATATTCTTCGTCACTCATGTGAAATTGTAAACTTATCACTCCGAGAACAACAAGGATTAGAGTAAAAACAATTAATACATTAGACTCCAAGCAAAGCTCAGTTGGGAATGACTGGAATTAAAATAAATACTACTATTTGTAAGTACACGCCGAAAGACCGACAAAGGAAAGTTCGGCATCCTTTGATAAAATTAATGATTTTTCAGAAGATTAATAAAGTAGATGCGTTTCCAGATAGGTATAGTGTGCCTACGTAAAAATGAAATGTAAATATGTAAATAAAATTGTGTATATTATGTTCTTCTTGTGATTGAATTAATCTACGTTAATTAATTTAAACTTGCCTTCACTCGTTTGAAATTCAAAATTCAAATATGTTTTATTCAAGTAGGCATTAAAAATA